GTAGTAGTAGTAGTAGATGATGATGGTAGTGGTGGTGGTAGTAGTAGTAGTAGTAGTAGCAGTGCTACCACTACTTCGCCTGCTCCGACTCCTGCAACTAGGACGACGATGTAACGACTACTGCTTACTACTTCTGCTGCTGCTCCTGCGGCGGCTGATGCTGCTGCTGCTTGAACGACGACGACGACGACTACTACTACCACTGCTGGCCATGATTGTGCTGGTGACTGGTTATGCGGAAAACCCGTTTGTCAGCAGTGGCAATGCCTGGTAGTGTCCCGTTTCGGTAGCATTGGCTCCATGTATGCTGGCGTTTGGGCTGTTTTGCCTTCCAGTCGTCGGAAGTCTGTTGACACGAGGCCGACAAGTGGCACACACTGGAGGAGGGGACGTTTGACCCCAGGACCCCTGCAGCCCCAGCCGGGGACCTTGAATGTGAGCCCTCGTTGTAGCCGACACTGTCTTGCGAGGCATGGGCACCAGGTAGCATTGAGAGCAACAGTAGGACTGATGTGACGCACAGAAATAGTAAGTAGCAATCATCAGAACAAAAGGTAGCAGTAAACAATCGGCATGCTCCTCCAGTCGACATTGTGTCGTAGTCGTCACCGGCGTTGTAGCAACTAGCATTATACTTAGTAATTTGTAGGAGTCGGAGTCGTCGTCGTCGTCGTCGTCGTCGTCGTCCTCGTGGTCGTGGTCGTCGTCGTCGTGGCGGTCGTCGTCGTCGTCGTCGTCGTAGTAGTAGTAGTGGTAGTAGTAGTAGTAGTAGTAGCAGTAGCAGCAGCAGGAGTAGTAGAAGTAGTAGCAGCACCAGTGGTGGCTGTAGCAAACGCAACATCAGCAGTCGCAGCAGTAGCAGTGGCAGTGGCTGTAACAGTGGCTGTAGCAGTGGCTGTGGGGTGGTGGCGATGGCAGTGGCAGTGGCAGCAGCCGGCACTACATCGGTGCTGATGGCCCGTGTCAGTGCCATTGTGTTGGTGGTGTTTCTTGTCAGTTGTGTTTTATCATGACGTCTTTCTGTTGGATGTTGCGATCTGAAGTTCGGTAGGTCGTTGGAGGTGGGCAGGTGGGTGGGTGGGGCCCAAAGAGGGGCTTCCAGCCTATGGTAGATGGCAGGCGTGTAGGCAGCGCAGGCTGCGCACTGTCGCTGTTGTCATGCCCTTGAGTGAAGAATGAGTGTGCCAAGCCCCAAAATCGCGTGGTACAGGAACATCAAGAGACCCACCATGGCACTTTAGCATCCAGCTTCATCTGCGGACCTACTGGGTGAGGTCTTTCCGAAGCAGTTGCATCGGCCCCGCCGACCAGAAGCTGCTCAGGCACCTTACCAAAGTTTTCCGTGTTCTTAGAAAATTGGCAAGGAACTCGAGGGTGCCTTGATGGGTTGCATTGGGAAGAACATGTGCAGGCTTTCTTCTGCTCGGGGTAGACATGGTCTTTCCTCAAATGGCCTGGTGAAAGCCAGCTTTGAGCTTTGACTTGGACGTGGTGCCTAACACTGGGTGCTGAAAAACGTGCAAAGCTGGATGCCAGGATCAGTTGCGGCTTTCGCCGGAGGAAGCAGAGGACCACTCGTGTGCAGCAGATAATCGAGGCAATCTGCAGCATTTGCTGCTCACGTGACTTAGGTGACTTATGTTGGCGTGGGCCCCTTGACTCCGTCTGCATGCCTCCACTTACTCAAGACAAGCAGCAAGAGCTGGGCCTGCGGGACGGCACGGAGCGACATCAAAAGGAAGTACCAGTGCCCAAACCCAAGCCCCGTGTTTGCCCCCGCAGCATGCAGGAGCTGGAAGCCAAAGTGCACACACCGATGCTGCCACTCGTTTTGGCGAAGATTGGCAGACATGCCAACAGTTGGTAAACATGACAAAGAACACGTGCCGAAGCCGAGGTACCTGCCTTTTGGTGGTGAAGCTGCTAAGGAGGTTGAGCAACGTCTCCGGAGTGCCAGTGTCTTACTTGGTACTCGTGCCAACGTTCGCTAGCGGCTAGTGCTCTCCCGGGCTCACCGAGTCGCCGAATGTCGCCGAGGCCCCGGCGGCGGGCGGCGGAGCAGCTGCAGTACGGGGCGCTCGTCCGCGGAGTGCAGCAGTGGCTTCGGAGGCCATAGATGTTAAGGCTGTTAAGGTGAAGGAGCAGCAGAGCAGCAGAGCGTGTGCTTCAAGCTCTTGCACAGGCTCCACGTCCCGGCACGGCACCCGGCAGTGTAACAGCCAGGAGCTCAGCTTTCAGGATTCGAATGCATACATCAGAGAAGGCATTGGCCTAGCAAGCGCTGGCTTTAGCTTCAGGGCTTCAGGTAGCCGGCCGTTCTTGAACAGCATTTGGCTGTGAGCAGGTATAGGCCAGTTTAACCGAACAGTGACGACCATGTCCCGCGTCGCTGGCATCGTGTGCGCTGCCTCCCTGGCCCTCTATGGTGCCAGCTGCTTCATCGTGCCTACCACTTTGCCCAAGGGCGCACCTCCCACGGAG